TTCTGCTTCTGCCTCTTCTGCATAACCCACTAAGTCTAGCTAGTGCCATCAGTAAAGGCACAGGTGTGGCACAATCCACTGGACCCTGAACACCTTATAGTGACTACACTCTCCAGAAGAATGATTACTTTTTCCCCCATACCTGTCATGTCCCAGCAGCTCCTCGGTTGGGGATGGGGCCTTCAGACCACCTCTTTTTAATTGGCTTGATTTTATGCCATTCATCCATAGTTTCAGGAAATGCCTGGCAAATATTCATGAAGGTTGAGGTACAATTTATATCTAAGAAACTACTCACCCTGAATTTAACAAACCCACACACCTGTGTAACCAGATTGCCTTTGGATCTAAAATTATCTCCTGTCCTGCTAGATAGTCCCCTCATTTACCACCCTGGCCAATCTCTAAAGAGAGCATTAGCCTGATACCCATCATCAGAGATTAATTTTTCTTGTTTTAATACTTAAGCTGAATAGTATCCCCTGCTGTATATAGATCACATTTTCATTATCCATTTGTTTGTTGAAGGATATCTACATTGTTTCCATTTCCTAGCTACTTGGAATAAAACAGTAATGAAATAGCTCCAAGTTTTCAAATATGAGTATATATTCTGGAGTGACTTCAAAAAACTGGAAAGTAAAAAGAGACCATTGTGGGGTCAGGGATGAGCAATAGAGAGAGGAATATCAGGGCAAAGTGCTCTGAAGGGGAAAATAGGGGCTCTAATTACATAGGGGGAGGCCTCAACCCTAGACAAAGAACTACAGAAGGAAAGGGTTAGGTGAAATAACAGCAAGGATATCTGAAAAAGTCATAAGGAACCATACTACTAATCATCTGCCTAAAAATACCTAGAATACAAGTAAGTCTGTGTATAAATATACATATAAAAGTTAAATAAAATTTTCCATCTGGGTTAACAATGCTCTCCCCAAGATCCATAGACCATCTAACAGAAACCCCAACATCAGGCATGGGAAGTCCTACTTTGAGTTGTTGGTCAGAGTTATCCAAGAAACTCCCAAAACATTATAGGTTATTGTCATTGTCCTTGTTTGTACGGGTGTGTGCTGAAGACAGCATGCACTTCAGACACAGCGCCCAGAGTTCCCTGAGCTAGATCTGAGCTGTAAGCCTCCTCCTTGAGAACATGGAACCAGAAGTTGCCATCTAACTTCTCAAAAGAAAGAAGCAACCAGCAGTACTACCCAGCTATGACACCTATGAACCAAAGCCATGACCATCATACATGCTAACGCTAAGGGCATGTATGCATATCTTGGTAGTAACAAATGGTTCTCTAAATTTTAGAGCTGGTCACCAAGAAGAAAATAATATTCAGTAAGGGAAACCTAGTGGGATATGCAGCGTTATTGAAATCATAGATTTTTAGAGAACCGTCAATGCTACCTTGCTAAACCAAAAAAATTACTAACTACATGTAAGATACCCACAGGTTATTATAAGATTATAAAAGCTAGAGAAATAAAGACTTGGCTGTAAAATTGTGTCTCCTAGAAATGTCAGAAGCTACAGCCATGAATTTCCACCAATATGGCTACCTAAACTTGAACAAAACAAGGAAAGCGCTAATAGACATGCAAATGTGAACAGAGAAAAGGCCATGAGACCTCAACCCTAGACAAGAATTACAAGCAACTGAGAAATGCTGAGAGCTAGAGAGATAGTCTTTACAAGGGAAAAGGAAACCAATTAGCTATACAATACCAAATGGTCAACCTTGCAGGTGTGGCTATGCATGTAACATTACATAAACTGAGCAAGTTACATTTACTCATATATAGAGAGATCGATAAGTATGCAGATAGATAGATATCACACGATTAAAGAAAAAACACTGAATTTCAAAGAGAACAAAGGAAAGTACATGGGAAGAAAAGAAGTTACATAATTACAATCTCAAATTATATATATATATATAGATAGATAGATATATAATTAAAAAGAAAGACATCTTTTTGTTGTCTACAAGAAGGTCATTTTACCTCTAATTCACATTAGAGTGAAAGGATAAAAGAATAAGTATTTCTGGAAATGGGCCAGGAAACAAACAGGGATCATCACCCTAAAATCTATTTCAAAATAGATTTAGGCAAAATAGATTTCAAACTGAAGTTAATCAGAAGAGATAAAGGACACTTTATCCCCATCAGTGGAACAGTTAACCAAGAAACAGCGTGACCCTAAATGAATGCATCAAACTCTGGTGCACCCACATATCACAAGATGTGTACTGCTGGACTTCAAGACATAGATTGGCAACACTCAGCATTACAAAGTGATTTCAATACTTTACCCATTAGACAGATATCAAGAGAAAAGAATAGACAGAAAAAGCTCAGATGAGGCACTTCTGTCATCTAAGTTTCTACCAATGAAAATGATATCATCAGCCTATGCTGTGTACTGAATCCTATGTGTGCCTAAGATTGGAGGCATTGAGGCTTCTCTTGATGCAGGGTGATGTTGTTTGGAGTGGGGCTTTGGGAAGCTTAGGTTTAGATTAGATAATGACAAGATGGGATTAATGCTTTTATAAAGAGGTACAGATGAAGTTCTCTTTCTCTTTCTCGTCTCTTTCTCAGCTCTCTCTCACATACTTAGTCTTATTTGTTCAATTGTAAATAAAATATCATTAAGCAATTTTAGGCAGTTTATAAAATTTGTGCTTTCATGAATTTTGGCTCAGTCTCTATAGTCTGATATCACATGAGAGTCCCTGATGATGATGATGATGATGATGATGACGACAAATATTGTTATTATTTCCTTTCATAGTGGTAATTGCAGTCCATCTTCTTTACCATTCAGCACTAGGTAGGTTGAGACAATAGGAATATCTCTCTGAGCTACTTACCTCATCCTCCATTGACAGTGGTAGTCCATAATGGTAAACAGAGTGTCAATGGCTAAGCAAAAACCTACTTTCAAGGGCCAGAAAAATGGTTCAGTAGTCAAGAATACTTACTGCTCTTCCCAAGAACCCAAGTTCTTGGTTTCCAACACCTATGTGGCTTATATTCCTTATGCTCCAGTTCCAGGGCATCTAACACTCTTGCCCCAGGGGGGTTTCTACATGTATGCTGTGTTTGCAAATACAGGGAGGTACACACACGTCCACAATAATCTATCCAAAAACAGAGTAAAACAAAACCAAACTTTCATCATTCTGTGCCTGATTTCCCTCATAATCTTTAGAGGCCGACTGAATATTGTTTACCTGAGATGCTTGGCATTTCAAACATTCTCTTTCCAGAATCTATAGGGAGATGGATTTCAAGCAAAAGTGTGTTTAGTAATGCCAGGCATTTTCAGCAGAGGAAGGTGGGATAGAACATCACAAAGGAAAATCCTGATGTGTGTAAACTTTAGAGGAGTGGAGCTTCTGAGCTTCCATGATGGAGGCCCTCTGAGTTTAGCCAGTGGGTGAAGGTACTAGATAGGACATGAATGGTAACTCGGAGAGCTATTCCTGTTGTTCCAACCTAGCTGTAACATGCTTTTGGTACTTAGTGGCTCAGGGAAGGTACTAAACAGGATCTACAGGAGACTGGTTCTATCTACAGCTTCACATCTGTGATCTAATTACAGACTATGTTTCCTGACTTTAAAATCATTGCGTATGCATCAATGAGATAGCTTGGAAAGGAGACCTAAGTCCAAAAACAATTAATTTTTTATGTCCATATAGTCTAAAGGTGATTTTATACAAATATTTCAAGTAGGTTCTGTATGAAACAAAGTTTTTTGGTATGGAATTTCTCCATTGTGATATGCTGTTTTTATATACAAACTATTATATATATATATATTCATATATTTATATCAATCTATCTATCTATATATCTATATCCATATATATCTATATCCATATATATATCTATATCTACCCATCCGTCTGTCTGTCTATATCTATCTATCTATCTATCTATCTATCTATCTATCTATCTATCTATCTATCTATCTATAAAACTTTAGGGACATTCTGAATTTTGGATTTTTCGTGTGGGATCTTTAAACTGTATGAATTCCATTTTTCAGTTGTGGAAGTTGAAGGGTGTGGCAGACTAGATGTAATGAGATTTCATAACTTTTCATTGTTCAGCTTGACAAGATACAGCTTGCAGCTGAACACAGGGAAGCATGCACTTTTATACATACAGCCAAGCAGAGACACTGAAATACATCACGAAGACTTTTAAGAAAGTGCTCAACTGAAGTCATTTGATACAGTCAGTGGAGATTCCAGAGTCTCCAGTTTTGTGGTCTTGATGTCTGGTCCCAGCCCACACCCAGCCCTCAGCACACCTCGGATACAATGATCCTTGAGCAGAGAGGTAGATTGCATTACACAGAGTTTTGAAGTGCCTTTGGGGTTTTGACTAAGTCTATTCTTGTTCACCAGCAATAATTGTCAGCAATAGTACAAACATTTTTTTTTCTTTATTTCCCTCAAAAAATTTTTCCAATTATATTTGGAAATTTATCAGAAGAAAAATTTTGTCCATATGGAGATCCAGGCCAAGGAGCCAGAAAGGAAGCCATACATACTCAATGAGCTAGATAAAAACTGCAGGCTCCTCCACCTGTCTCTCCTCTCCAAAGACAGAAATAGAAAGATGTTCTTGGAGGCCTCACCCCCACCACAAATGTGGCCTACTGTAGAAATGCATCTGGAATAAGAATACAGATAATCAAGACAGGAATAACAGCGGTTCTTTTTATTGACCCTCGGGTGTAAGCGACACAGCATGCTCTCTGGCTACTTCATACTGCAGAACTTCATTTTTCTGTTTCTCTATAGGCATCAGGTTTGAGGAGAAGAAGGAACATGTCAAGGTCACCCAAAGATACAGGAAAGGAACCAACTGGAACTTGGTACTTGACCAAAGACAAGGTACTAACAAGCCCTGAGATCACCCACTGGGTAGTAAGCAGACAAGAGGCATTTGTAGGAAATAAGTCAAAGGCTCCTGCTAGGACAGTTGCATACTGTTGTTACTTTCAATCTTCTTGTTCAACTGTTGTGGTATGGAAGGGGTTGAGTGTCCCTTGGTGGGACTGCCACTCAGGTGAACAATGGCAAAAGAGCTCTCAATACTGCTTGTCCTGAAACAGAAAGAAGAGACAACTGAAGAAGTTCAAACTCAAGTCAGAAAAGCTGTTTTCCTCCCAGGTGCATCTTGGTCCCCTGCAGGGACACGCTGAAGATCATAGGATCCTATTTTTAAAACACCTACATGGAAATGCCAATGTGGACTTAGAGGTTTGTCCAGCCAACCATGATGTCACTTGGGCATGACTCATTGGGGAGTGCTTTCCATATGGCAAAGCACCCTGACAGCGTATTTTTGAGGAGGAGTCAAGGGGGAGGGGAGATAGTTCAATGGGTAAAGTTGAGGGCCTGAGTTTGAATCCCCAACACTGATTTAAAACCAGGCCTTTTGTTTATAATCCCAGCATTGGGAACTAGGGACTGGTAGGAATACAGGCAAAACCAAGGGTCTCCAGGATCAGTGAGAAGCATTCTCTCAAAAACCAAGATGGAGCATGCCAAGGAAGACATTTGACCTTAACTTCTGGCTGGACATGAGCACAGGTACCTGCACACAAACATACTCATAGATACACACACCCATATACACACATGAACACATATAACCCCCATATACACACATATGAATGAGTCAATGGATATCTGTCATATTAACACTGACCTCATTTCTACAGGGTTGAGGAAATTTGTGTCCACAACTGTGACTTTCCCAGCTTCTTCCACAGAAGAAATTGGAGAGCCAATTGTTAATATCTTACATTCCAGGTAGCTCAAGCTTGAGCCTCCATGTGTATGTGTGTTGGGTCTCAGATAAACTCATTTGTGCTAGCTAGCTTTATGTCAACTTGAAACAAGCTAAATCCATCTGAGATGAGGAAACCTTAATTGAAAAAAATGCCTCCATAAAAGGGGGTTGTAGGGCATTTTCGTAATTAGTGACTGATGGAGGAAGGCAGAGTCTATTGTGGAGGGTGCCATCCCAGGGCTGGTGGTCTTGAGTTCTATAAGAAAGCAGATGAGCCAGCAAGGAACAAACTAGTAACCCAGGAAGTAGCGCCCCTCCCTCCGTGGCTTTTGCATCAGTGCCTTCTTCCAAGTTTCTGCTCTATGTGAGTTCCTGTCCTCACATCCCTCAGTGACCAGCAGTGCTGTGGAAGCATTAGCCAAATAAACACTTTCCTCCCATAGTTGCTTTTGATCACAGTATTTCATCACAGCACTAGTAATCCTAACTAGTACAATCCTAACTAGCATATGTTGTTCTAGGAGGTCTTTCAAAGGCCACTTCCAGGCAAGTGTTATTATGTACACATAAATGTTTATTTCAAATAGAACAAAGGAATATTTCAAGATGCCATACATAACTAAATTTCTTGTGAATTTTTAGAGATCTGCGTAGATATTGTGATTCTATGAAGATGGTATAATCACATTGCATAAAGAGCCTGCTGCTGGGGCATTCCAGGAAGCACACACCTTTCCTATAAAGTTTTAGGATTATATAAAGTTCAAAGTCACACTGAGTAAATAAATCAGAAGTGTCTAGAATACACGGGAGCATCCACAGCTAGCCTGACACCTCTTAGCACTTAGCATATATATATATATATATATATATATATATATATATATATATATATATATACAAGTGTGGGTTTGTAGTGTTGGTAGATCTTCAACCTTCAGGGACTGAGGTGAAGTATGAGAAGCACCCCCAGCAGAAATGGAAAAATATATCTAAGTCATGTAGACAGGGGAGAGTACAGAGAGAAAATGAATTCAGATATGCAGTTAACTAACCACTGGCAATACTGAGCATTTATTTCTTCTTCCTCCTGTGTGTTCTCCTCCCTCTTCCCTCTTTTCATTTTCAGTTTCCCTTCTTATATTCCCCAACACCCCCTTCCTGCTTCTCTTCTCCTTTTGTCCTCTTTTTCATTTTTTTTTT